GCATTCATGCCTGAAAGGAAATTTGGTTACCCATCATCCAAAAGATTCTTGCCAATCTTACTGCCAATTCTTAGAACACACATATTGTATTTGTGGTAATATCAGTAGCTAGATTTGCTTGATCCACCATAAGTTGTTTCCCTCCAAACAGTTGTTAATGTCCTTAATGGCAGCTATTTTCAGATCCAAGAGGGTCTCTCTCCTAATCATCTGAAGAAGGCCAAGCTCATGTTTTTCTACACCCGCTACCCAAGCTCTAATATGCTCAAGATGTTCTTCTCTGATGTCAAGGTAAGTCCAAACATGCTCATCCTCTTTAGTCCTTCTTTTAGTTTACCTTTGCCTTTTATATTTAACTTTTAACTTTGGTTCACACTGTCCCTGATTGACTATTTTCAAAATCATTACTTGTACCTTCATCTTCTTTTATTTGCTCCGTGTAATGCGCGTAAATATGGAAAACACGTTATATTTTTTCTGTCTTTTGACAGCTTTTTTCCTTGTACGTTTTTCAACGCACCTGCTTTAAAAGAGGAAGTCTGATGTATTATTTGTGATGTGCAAGCATCAGTTACCGTGAACAGAGTATGCTTGTCTTGAAATGAGGCCCTTTCCCTCACTAAGTTATGGTTTTATGCAAAAGATGAAAGAAGAGGAAGTTGAATGGGTTTACATGAGGGAGCTGGAGAGCCTATGAGTATTCTAAAGATAAAGAGCGGGATGAGTAATGGAGGGGTGGAGAGGGCAGAGAGGAGGAGTGAGCCTAGAGACAGAGGAGTGGTTATCTGAGCAGGTGTAGGGAGGATGGCTTGACAGAGGGAGGGGAGAAGAGAAAGAGTCGGTTTAGAGAACACGGTTAAAGATGAGCGTTATTACAACTGGGAGTGTAATGAAGGAAATTTGGAAAACAAAGCACAATATGTAAGCTGCACAAAAAAAACAGAACAACACAATGGCCGTTGTAGTGTGCGCGACCGAGTTTGTCCGTGTTGTTGTTGTTTTGCGTGCATGCCCCTCACGGACCATACGGAGGGGTAAACACTGTGACATATCCAGGCCATCTTATTCAAATCAGGAGATAAAGGTCCCCCTTTTTTCCCAGATGCCCCCTCATAGATGCGGTCGCCACCAACCATGACTCGTGGGTCACGTGATTTTTTCTCTGCACATCATTGGTCAGGTTGAAAAGGAGGGTACATGTTGGCAAAGCCGGTAGGCACCTGTAAATTTCAAGTTTCAAAACTTAATATACTCAGTATTAAAGCATCCCACTGATTTGACAATGCTGTTATTAATGCCGTTGAACAACTGCAGCAACAATTACCATTTAAGATTTGAATCACTGACTAATCAACCCCCGATGAGGTGGCCTCTTCATCATTGGCCCCATCAGATACTTAAACAAGGTCAAGATAGTTAAGGGGATTATTCACATTGGTTTGTTTTTGTTTTCAGTAGAGGACAATAGACTCAAGCTCAAAGTTTGTAGACATGTATGGGAATGAGACTGACTATCTAATTAGATTCAGCCAGCGTGGCCTCTTAGCAAGTGGGTGTCCTCAGACATAAGTCTTGAAGGCTAATCAGGTCTTGACTAATCAGGTATTGACTGTCAAGAACCTAATGAACGTGGGAAGTAGGTTGCCCCAATAACCGGGGCATGCTGTAGCTGTTGTTCCTCTTTATTAAGCTCCTTTTAAGACTATTGTGACTTTTTTTGACTTTTGATGTTTTTGAAATGTTTTGACAGATGTGTCATAATACCATTGTTGGTGCTGCTAATGACAGCCTATAGCATCATCCCTGTAGCTCTCATTATTAATGCACATACTGTTTTGATAAAGGCTGAAAAATTATGACAGATTAATTAACAGATTAAATAAAGCTATTCAGTCAATTAATAAAGTCAACTAAACTTATTGCCTGTGTAAAGAGAAACAGTGGGTGGTGGATGTACTGTATATTAATTAATTATAGGCTGTTCGGACCTTGATGTATTGTAGATGTACATTTTCCTTTCATTTTAAAGCAAACACACACCTTTCTTTGTCTGTCTCTCTGTGGCTCTTTTAGCGACAAGCCTCAGTATTTGGGCCAGTCATGTGCTGTGGAGTAGCGGAGGTCAGGAGGGTTTTCCCTTTTCTATATGTCATTCCTTCTCTTTTCTTTTTTTTCGCTGATGGTGTGGCATGGCATGTGTGCCTCGGCGGGGCCGGGGAGAAAGAAAAGCCAGCCGCTGGATTTGAGTCGCCGCAGTAACAAAAGCCTGCTTTCCAGGGCCGCTTTTTGTGTGCAGTCAGCCAATAGGCAGCCGGAGATTATCTCCCACAATTCACCCCTGCGAAAACAGGAAACGTTGGAAAGCCCTGATGACTGTGAAGGGGCTTACGAGAGAGAGAGAGAGGGAGAAAGAGAGAGAGAGAGAGAGGCCCGTACAGGCTTCTGTGTCTTTCTGCTCTCCTCTCCGGTTGTTCTGGATGTAGCTTAGCACTCTGAGGTCATCTGTGTGCTTTCTGCTCCATTGTTGACCACTATGTCAGGGAAAGTGTTGGCAAGAGATACACTTTGGCTTTTTATCTAAACGTTTTCATCCTAAAACCAAAAGTCAGATCTGTAAAACCAAATTTCATTCTAGGTATTAATAAATTAGATGACGTTTGTGCAGACGTTTGGGACTGACGGTCAAAGTGCCTGAATACTTTTGGCAGGCGACTAATATAGTTTGGACCAAGGATACTTGAGTGTTTTCCTATTCTGGACTTAAGTATGTGCCTGTGCATGAGCATAACATACGTGTGTGTGTGTGTGTGTGTCTGTGTCTGTGTGCCACTTTCTATCTTGTGCTGTTAGCACTAAGCGCTGACCTTTCACAGGCTCTTGAGTGTGAGTGTGAGAAACACGCTCTCGCTGTCTCTCTCTCATCTGCCTCTCAGCCAGACACACACACATGCACTCATATGCTCAAACGCAGTGCGTCGACTCAAACACACACACACACACACACACACACATTTTCCTCATTGCATCTCATGTCGGTGCTGGCTGACCCCTGCCAGCTCTGATTAAGGAGCTGCAGTGATGTGCTCCTTTGAACCAGTTCCCTCCTTTTACACTGAACACACTCGTCCTTAACAGCTATCAGGGGTCCAAGACTGCTGGAAGCTGCAGGGGGACTTGCCAAAATTGAGCAGTTGATGCAGATATAACATAATTTAGTGTATTTACCTGCATGTACAGTAAATATCGTATCTTTTGTGTGCTTCGTGCTGTGATTGAGCCACAGTTCAGTTCAGCTGCACAGGCCCTAATACATCTTCTCCTGAGCTGCCGGTATAATAAAGTAATCCTTGTCCAAAGTGACAAATCTATCCGTCACTCCGCTGCAGTGACACCAAAGGTCTCCTGCATGAGCGATGGTAACTCTTTCACTGACTTCAATCTCGGTATGTAGTGCTCGAGCTCGCACGCGCTCAGATGCGCGCGCGCAAACTTGCTCACACACCAATTCACTCATGTCTCAGATTTGCACCCAGTAAGATCTTACACACGAGGAAAGGTTTCGTGTTTTTGTGCTCTGTCACACTCCGACTGTCTGCAACATTGTGTGTGTTTAAGAATAGCCCCGTGCAGCCAGTGTATTTGTAAGTGTCAGTAGTTTGTTTGTTTGACACTCCGATGTCACGACCCCAGCTTGCTGACTGCTCACGTTCCGACCCTCTGCGCCCCCCCCACCCCCTCCAACCGAGCCAAAACGGCCATTGTCCGACCGGCAACTGGAGAGGCCCGGCACCCGTGCTCCTCTCCTCCCTGCCCTCCCTTCCCTCCCTCTCCCCTCATTTCCCCATTTTATGCTCACCCTGCACTTTACGACAGCCACCATGCTACCCCCCCACATGCACCCTCCCAAACCCCTGCCAAACAATGTCAAGCGGACTTATTCTTTTCCACTCCGCCATTATGTCATCTGCTGATCATTCCAGAAAGGCACGGCGCCCTCCTCTAGCACCCTGTCCCACCTTGGTCCAACTCTTTTGAGGCTTCTGATTCGCCAGCTCTTCTGCTTGTCGTTGTGTTCTGTCCCTGCTCGCCCTCCCATCTTCATGTGCCTGCCTGTGTTTGACTGCCATCCCAGTTCGCGGAGAGTGCGTGTGCATGTTTGTGCGTGTCTGTGTGTTGTCGAACAATAGCCAGAGCCTAATCTCCATGTCAAAACCGCTCTGCCTCCCCAGCGAGCAGTCCGCTCAGCGTTTAGTAGCGTTTTGTCCCCCCATTCTTCCAGCACCACAAAAAGAGCAGAGGGGAGGGGAGCAGTGAAGGCCTGTGTGTGTTTGTGTGTGTGTGTAGGGTGTGGGTGATGGTTAGGGGTATCAAGCATTTCAGAGGCTAGAATTTTGAATTAGTGAGACGTAATTTCTGGGAGTCACTGGAAAGAAGGTATTATTTTTATGTTTTTAAGGGTCTGATCAGATCTTTCAGTGGGGCATTTCAGGGTGGCTGGGCCAGGCAGCTCAAACTCCTGAGGTCCTTATCTAGTGGTCTGGATGTTTAGACAGTGTGTTTTCACACACCAGAGGCGGAAAACTAGCCGAGACTAGCCGAGGCTCTTAATAGGTTTACCTCGTCCTATTGAATCCAGCTAAGCGGCACAGATCAGATAGCCACAGTCTTGCCCGCAATGCTTATCATCTCTGTCTTTCTCTTTTCTTTTTCTTCTCCTTTCTTTCTGCCTGGGAGGTGCAGAGAGGGGAGGAGAATCAGGGTGTAATTGGTGAACGGGGTTAAGTACATGTTTGAGCCCCCTGCGGGCCAGGGCGCTTCAGATGATGACTTAATCGTTTTTCTGGTCAATTATGTGTTTGCGGTCTCGCACCCCCCCTTCTCCACCTCTCTCTACTCTCAGGGTTATGATAGGGGGGAGGTCTGCTCCCAGTGGGGAAGATGAACCACACACACACACAAACACACCCTTAGTCTAGTCTCACACACACACTCTCTCTCCCCACTCTCTTTTCTCCGTCCCTCTCCTTGCTCACTGTCTTCATGTCTCTATTATCTTCCCTCACTCAAAGACCTGTGATCTTTCTTGCGCTCGTCTTTTTTCTCTCTCTCTCAGTTATCACCTCACGTCTCACCACCCCGCTGTTAACTGTCATCCTCACACTTCTTTTCACTCATACTCAAATCCAGTGGCTTAATAAGGTTCAGACATGACAGGCTTCCCTCTGCTTGCATGAAGAATATTTACAGAACCCACTGATTTGCAATTAAATTTCTTTTGGATTTCGAGTGATGTTTGTCTTTTTCTTTTATACAATGACACCCCCTGAAACAGTGCTAACTCCACATCATTTCTTGTTCCAGTTTAATCGCTGCATAACCTCGCAGCTGATCAAGTGGTTCAGCAACTTCAGGGAGTTCTACTACATCCAGATGGAGAAGTTTGCCCGCCAGGCCATCAACGACGGAGTCACTGGAACTGAGGAGTTGAGCGTCAGCCGCGACTGCGAGCTCTTCCGAGCCCTTAACATGCACTACAACAAGGCCAACGACTTTGAGGTAAACACCAACACTTTAATGCAGATTGAAGTGTAAAGGCTGTATGTTCTCAGTCAGAGGAGCCGCTGAGAGCGAATGCCGTGCATATCAAAAAACGTTGAATTTCACCTGATACCTCGTGATGCAGACGGGTAGTGTGACACCGTCTCTCTGTGTCCTCTCTGACACCGCCTCACTGTGACTGTTCTCAATGCTGAGTTCAAGTCTTTTATACATCCTGCCGCACTCGGCTACACTGCACTATAATGTATATTGTCGCTGTCCTGTGAAAATCATCTCTAGAATAGTCTAATTGTCATCTTTGTGACGATGCATCTTCTCCAAAATATCAGTGGAGAATTTTCTCAACTTACGTTTATCCGGAAAAATTCAAACACACCAAATTTGGAGACAGATGAATTTTACTGGACAGCAATAATATGAAGAAAATATTTATACGAGAGCATGCATCACAGGCTTCAGCTACATGAAGATGTGAGGAACTCTCATTCAATGAGGAAGAAACCTTACCGACACCTCGTTTTTGCCTCTTCCTTACTGTTAATTTCCCCTTGGTGGTTCTCTGTGTGTGTGTATTTGTGTTTTTGAGAAACCACATTTTACTTCCCCGTCCTCATTTACCTATCATCTGTTGTGAGATGTTTATGTGTGTGTCTTCCAGTAAAGTGTAATCATAAATTCTCTGCAGGCAACTTCACCTTTAATGTTTCATTTTTCACACTTCCTCATTTTGCCACTGTCCCTTTCTGTGTGTTTGTGTGTGTAAACGTGTGTGTGGAATGTTTCAGGATCGCCAGTGCTCTCTCAATGTCAGATGACAATAGACCTTTAAAAGGCTTGTGTTAAGAAGGACCTGGAGTGATTTGGGTTTGTGCGTGTGTGTATTTGTTAGTGAGAGTCTATGTGTGTTCGTGTATGTGTGTGAGTGTTTTGTTGTTGCTGCATTTCCCAGTGTCCTGTTCACCTCGAAGGGTACAGCCGTCCCTTGGACCGGCCTGGCATGCTGGCAAAGCACTTCTCCAGTGTGTGTGTGTGTGTG